CCTGCTCCTCCTTGCTTCTCTGGGCAATGGTCTGCATGGCTCCATCTCTCATAAGAGGGACATTCAAACCAGGCCATAGGAAGCCACTGTGCCCTGAAGATTTGAAAACATACATGAATAAGAATTTTTAAAAATCTTTTATTTCTTGAGTGTTAAAATGCCAGGCAATGGGTATACAGATGACGCTGCTGGGAGGAGCATAGGCTAACACAGTCACCTGGCAGGCCACTTGACACGTCTATTACAATTTTCAGTATACCTACCCTAACAGCTAGTCATCCCACTTCATGGCATTACCTAGAGATACGCTCCCATACAGGTACAAGGCACGTGTGTGCTTGGACAAGGATGTCCACTGAAATGTCATTGTAAAGGCAAAAACTGGAAACAACCTACACGTCCAGCCCCACGGGAGTGGTTAAAGGAACTACAGCATGTCCAACTACGAAATCTCCCACACTCATCTGAAAGAATGAGGGAACTCTACAGGATCTGATGCAGAACCATTTCCAAGACCTATTACTGAGTAGAAAAGGTACATTATAAGACAGTATGTACCATGTGATCTAATTTGATTATTTTTAAAAAGAAGAAAAAAATTCTATTTCTCTTAGGGTTTTCTGTATATAAAAGCATTAAAAAAATGTCAGAAGGAAACACACCAAAATGAGATCAGTGGTTTCCTTGGGGCAGCAACTGGGGTGGGGGGATATCAAAGGGGCATCAGGAGGACTTAAGCTTCTCTATGTCTTTGACTTTTTTACTGGGAAGTATACAAATATAATCGTTATAATTTTTTTAAATGTTAAAAAATAAAATATAAGGCAAGTCACAGAAAACCATCCAAGCAAACATGCAGCGAGCAGAACAGTGAAGGTGTTTTCTGCACGCCTGGAAAGCTATTACTATCACAGATCATTTGTCAGCAGCCACAGCACAAAATGTTGATTCAAGTGCACCATGCTATTTTGACTCTTCAAAACACACAAGGATAAACAATCATGTGTTCCCGGGGTTGGCAAGCTAAGGGCCACGGGCCAAAACCAGCCCACCACTTCTTTCTGTACATAGTTTTACGGGAACAAGCTAGGCCAATTTGATTATGTATCTATGACTGTTTTTGTGCCCCAACAGCAGGGCTCACTGGCGGCCACCAGATCACATGGCCCACAAAGCTGTAACTATTTACTATCTGGCCCTTGGCACAGTTTACCAACCCTCCATTTACTCCAGCATCTTTCACTGAATCATAAGCTCTTTGAGGGTGGGGACTGTCACAGCAGAAGCCACACAAGGGCACTGAAGGCTTGATGACTGACTGACTGAATGAATGAATGAGTCCGCTTCTATGGGGTTTTTCTCCCCCCAGAATCATGGGACAATAAGTAAGCTGCAGATCCTAGTGCCCTTCAAGAGAAATGTTTTGATGCTTTTGGATTGTAAAAATAGCTATAAAATTTGAGGGGAAAAAATTTAAAAAGCACATTAGCTGTGTTTATAAGTGAGTTTACCTTCACCAATGATCTGCCCACGGTTTAAATCCTTCCTTTTCTTCTTCTTCGTTCTCTTGCCTCTCCCTTTTCTTGCTCCAGCGCCAGTCTCTGCTAAAGCACCTTTCCAGAGCTCGTCTGCTGTCACTGCAATAAGACAGGTGGTTGTTTTTTTTTTAATTTTCAAGCAGTGATCTATGGTCTCCTATTGAATAAAAAAGGCCAGAAGACACCAGCTCCACTTGTACCGCTGTAGCAATGAAAGCAGTCAATCATTCTCTGCATATGTCATGTGGTCACATTTGGGAAACCCGAGGAGACGATTCTACTTTCAGAGAATATGGCCTTCCTCCACAAAAGACGGCCATGACATTGCAGTGGAAAGATGTATAATATATCACCGCACGAAAATGCGGCAAACCCAGGATTTCAGGGCAATGGAACCCCAAAAATCTTTTTGATTTTCTGTATTTACCAAATCATTTAAAATAAGTTGGCTTTACAAGCCTAATTTCTTTTAATTTGCCTAATGCTGAGTTGTAAATTCAATCTCCATTTATTAAAAAATCATTTCAGTCCAGATTAGACTTCTTCAAATACCACCACAGGTCGGAGCAGTTAACAAAACACCTAATTAAAACGAATGCTTCCTGATTACGTCCTATCCCCTCAACTTAAGCACAACTAGAAACAGACTCTGGGTGTAGTCTTGGCAGGGACCTAAGTCAGCCTCAGGTGCCCCAAATGAGGGGACTAAAATAAGCTAGTGGTTCCCGAAGTATTCTACAAACACGACTGGTGGCATGTGAGATAATTCTACAAGGTACAAGAAGGAACATTTTTGTTTTAATAGTACATCACAACTAATCACTAAAGTGTTAATTCATTTGAGGAAGAAGAAGAAAAATTAAGATACAAAAGCAATTGTTATGTTCCCATTTCATGAGAAAGGAAGTTGGTGGCCAGGCTACATACATTTTGTGAAGAAACTGTAGGGTCTATACTGTTGGCCCATCGAGTTGCTGGGCGAAGAAATACAGCACTGTGTCTCTAGCGCATGGCTCAAGCTGCTGAAATGACGGTTGTCGCTGGTTCCTAGAGATGACAAAGGGCCTGGAGGTAGATGGAACAAAACTTTGAATGAGACGCCCTGTGGCTGTGGAGAGACATTGCCAGCACCACATAATTAATCGTTCCTAGTAAAAGTAAGTCCCTAAATCCTGAACGTTTCAGAATCAGGTTTTGAGGACAGTCTTTCCTTTAAAACAAAAACAGAATTTTGGACTGATAACCTAAATGGCCATTCTAGTTAGAGCAGGGACGGGGCACACACACAATGGGTGCAGCTGTCTGACGGAGGAGTGGACCTGCCCACACCAGGGTTGGTCCAGACTTGGCTGTGTGCAGCCAGAAAATGGAAAGGCCAACGGGAAGCAAAGACCTGCCCATGACCTGGCTGGACAAGTAAGTTGCAGAACAGCATGGACCATCCTACCCTCTTGTTTAAGAAATAAGGAGGCCATGAACACGCTTTACAGACTAATTTGAGAAGCACATACAAGAAACTGGTAACAGTGGAAGATGGGACAGACGCATCTGAGATTGGATGTGAGACATCTGCTTTTTTGTGGGTTTTTGGGGAATTTTTTTTAACCATATGTGTGAATCACTTTAAAAAGTGTTTCTGAACAGCCATGTCCTAGAGGGAGCCATTTCGTCAGTGCCCTGGACAGTGGTGTCCTGTGAGGAAGGCGGCAGGGATGACAGCAATCAGTGGACTGAGGAAACGGGAATACTGGTTAGAAAAAGTGTACATATGCTTGCGCCTACATTTCAGTAGGGAGTCAAGTAACTGCTAGGGAAGCGAGGAGGGAGATTAAAACAGCCCTCGAGAAAATAAAGGTTACTCAAGGGTGCTGGGCTTGACAACCAGAAAGCCAGATGACAGCAGCTGTTCTCCAGTCTCTGAGAAATCATGAAACACACGGTAATAACTCCTTCATGGCCACAGAGGGCTAAACACCAGAAATGATCTTAAGTGGTAACAAGAAAGAGTCTGGCTAAGCATAAGGAAAAACTGATACTACACGACTGCAATAGTTATTAAAATAATTCCCCTGTATACAGACATTGAAAAATAAAGATCATTTCATCCAACCCCTTCATTTCACAAGAAACTTAGGCCTACAAAGTTAGGGACTTGTCCAAAGACTAGTCAATGAGATTTAAACACCCATGCCAATCCCAGATGAATCACTCAATGGCAGGGAGGTGGAGGCTGGCTCAGATGATCGTTGAGGTACCTCACTTAGTGACTTACTCAATAAAAAGTACCATATTTCCCCATGTATAAAAATTTGGGGTCTTGGGCCAGCCGAGTGGCGCGATGGTTAAGAGCTATCTTGGGATGCCAGAGGGCCCCGGTTCGGATCCCACATATGAGCGCCAGTGACACTGCCTTCCACAGCTAAGATGCTGAAAAACAGCTCAACCTGGAGCTGGGCTGCTGTGAGTCACCGGCAACGGTGTAGGCTGCAGCCCCTGTGGCAGTGGGTTGCCATGGGCTACCGTATGTAGCCAGCAGCCAGCGTGAGCAGCCAGCAGCTGCAGNCCCTTTCACAGGGGTCGCCTAAGACCATCAGAAAACAAAAAGATATTTACATTACGATTCATAACAGTAGCAAAATTAGTTATAGAGTAGCAACGAAAATAATTTTATGGTTGGGGATCATCACAACATGAGGAACTATATTAAGGGGTCACGGCATTAGGAAGGTTGAGAACCGCTGCTCTAAACAATCCTAAGCTGTCCTACTCCCACTCCATTGGATAATCCAGAAGCCAGTCCTGGATACCCTACCTTCTCATCACAATATTCTGGTGGCCAGGCTCATCAGGGCCCCACCCTCCTTCTAGCAGATGTTACCCGCCCCCACCCCCAAGACTAGCTGAAGCCACCAGACAGGCAGCACTCACACATCCAACACACATTTCCACCATCACCAACACAGCCTCACCTGACTGTCACAAATTAATCCTTTCATCTACACTCTGGATCTCAGCCTCCCATTAGGGACTTAGCTGATTGGTTTTTTCTCTCCCTCCTGTAACTTCATCCTCCCAACTGAAGCGTTTTGTTCAGCTCTAAGCACGTTTGCCTGTCTCTCCTTCTCAACCTCTGCTCTTCTCTTCAAGGTAAACTTTAAAAAGCTGCCAAACTCTTGTCTATTTCTTCATCTCCTCCTCAAGAGTGAATTTTCACCAAGGTTTTCCCTTTTCTACATACTCAGGGGTGGGGTGGGCAGAGGACTGTGTTTTCTAATTTGGCCTAATAAGAATTACCAGTTTTTCTTTCACATGTGCTTTTCTGAGGCTTAATGACAACTATCTGTTTTGTCCCATTATGGAAACAGCCCTCCGTGCCATCTGCTCCACAGACACCTGTGACCAGCTGTCCGGGAAATGGCCCATGTAGATCTCTATCGCACACCACCATGGTTAAGGCTCTGAGAAGCCACACAATAACGGCGCCAACACCCAGGGCTTTGCACCCTGCTTGTGGAATGCTTATTGGTTACGGGCCTCTAGTGTTCCATAAACTACACTCGGATAACAAGGTGAAGTTATTTCAATGGTGTTCAAATCCATTTTTTGGAAAACAAGCAACCTAAGCAGGTAAGAAAATAAAATCATCATAAGGAATTCTAGAACCATAAGTACTCTCTGTCACAAAGGTAAGCAAAACCAGGACTCTGCTACCTCCATTGGGACCAGGGTCAGGGGGGCCAAGACTGACTCTTCCCCATGTGTTTCCACTCCAGCCTTGCTTGCGCTTAATCTTCGTCTTCCTCTTCTGGTCCCACTCTTCCCTCTGCTGGAGCATGTCAGCCTTCACCTTCTCCTGCTCCTCCTTGCTTCTCTGGGCAATGGTCTGCATGGCTCCATCTCTCATAAGAGGGACATTCAAACCAGGCCATAGGAAGCCACTGTGCCCT